GTTTTTCGCGAAAACAAAATTGTGTTAAAAAAACTGAGTATCTTCGAAAACAATATTAAATCCACCAAAATGATGGTTTGAAAGACGTTTATTGTCAGGAGTGGGATTCGAACCCACGCCTACATACGTAGACTGCGACCTGAACGCAGCGCCTTAGACCGCTCGGCCATCCTGACACACCACGTACGTATATCCCACCTTTGACGCCCCGTTTTGCGCCCCCGAAACTTCAATTTATCAGTTTTTGGGTTAGCAGGTTATTTCAGGATTCGTGAAAAAATATGAAACAATTTTACACAACTACGGGTTAGAGAGCAGCGGGACCGGTAGGGCTAGGAGGAACAAGGAGGGGCTGACTGTGGCTGGGGGAGGGAGGGAAAGGGGGGTCTCATTGTGTGCGCGGGTTTTCTTTCTMTGATTTTTAATTTGACAATTTCCGCTATTATTGTGTRTTATTATATTCAATRTTATTTTCAAAAYATTCKACATGGCATGRCGAGGCATTSCTAATAGCAATATGCTATTACTGAATATAAAAAATAAAACTATTTTGCRATATAACCATTTATTTGGATTCACCAAGAGTATGTGTACACAAAACTTCGGCGGCTACTTTTCATTATTAGGCACAGTCAGTCGTATTGGTGTCTTTATTTACGACAGAAAAGGCATTTCGCATTACCACAACGTGGAAGTTTGCATTTGCAACGTTTTGCACACTGACATGAGGCCCGCCTCCATGGAATTTTCTACATGAGGTTTAAGGAAACAAGCAAGAAAAAATATTGATTAGTATCAGTAGAGTAGCGAACTAATTTGTTCAATTAACTTCAATTCGACTTGGAATAAATCAATAGACCTCTTTAACATGGACGTAATATATTTAGCAATTATTCGCCGAAGGCGAAGTGAATATCGGGCAATATTTACCGAGACGCGAGTCTTCGAGCGGCGAGGTAAATATTCTCCATATTCACTGAGCCTGAGGCGAATAATTGTTTTAGCATATACCAACTTGTGTACAGAGTAACTTATTTTTATATACAATAATTCAATAAAAACAAACAAACAGAAACTTTTAGTTTGCGTAGCACAACTTTTAGGCCATATTTCGTTGCCTTGTTAGCACTGATAGGAATAGTATAGCATTTACTTTCAATTTTTCAATTTCCTCATCGGAAATTGTAGCAAAACGATTGTCGGCAGTTGCCATTTTGTTGCCGACTCAATATTCCGAGATTCAGAGGTAAATATCGTGCAATATTCACCTCCAATTAACCAATGAGCGCGCGCGTTCTTAGGAAGTACACAAGTTGGTATATTCTAAATATATATATATTTTCATTTTTGTAAACCGTGTCATTCTCTTGAGCATCATTTGTTTGTTTGGATRCAAATGAAACAAAGAATCCTATTCTAAAAGAAATGACACGTGATCTGTTCAAGCTAAAAGAAGATTGTTTTAAAAGGTCTTTCTTGAATACTGCAGTGTATCTTCTGCATCAGAAAATTCGCAATTAAGTCACTGATATGGATTATTATAATGGAGCTTTCCCTGAGTTGTCAAACGACGCCTTTCTTATGACACCAACGATGCACATATAACGATGCACCCACCCACTTATCAACTCAACCCAAACTAAACAACTTTACTCTAATTTCTGTTACRAAGGGTGTTTCACAAGTTAGAATTAAATCGGCTGTCAACATGTCAACATGCCACAAAAAGACAAAATAACATAAAAAGAGGGGGARAGCGAGAAAAAGAGAGGAGAAGGAGAGAGAAAGTATGTAACTACTCACACATCTTGGTAAGGTTGGTGGRCAGGCATTTGTAATACTGTTTGCCTGATCGATGAAGCGCCCCATGCCGTTTGCATCCATACAGTCGTTAAAGCACTGCTTCTCTGATTTGTAAAGGGTGTCACAGTAATGTGGCCAACGGCCCCATGATCCAAAAAACACTGGATATCCAGGAAGACTCGGATTCTTCGACCCTGGAAAGTTTA